ACATCTCCAAGCTCATTTTAGAAGAAGAGCAGACTACTTTCATTGTATTATTCACTATTTCGTATGTCAGCACTGCCACTTTAGCTTTCAGGCCCTCAAGACAGACTACATTTACTTCTGTGTCTTATGCTGTGCAGTAAAATCTTTCAAGCAACAGAGAATGCTATTTAAAAAATAACCCTTCAGCTCCTCCAAATTTCATGAATTAAAGTACATTATTTCACCTGAACAGACTGCAAATACCATTTATCAGTGGCAAACAATGCAGGTGTTTCTCTATCTCATGAAAACCAGTTTTCCCAGTGTGGATGACTGAAAGTTTTTTTTCTCTCAACTACTTTAGACAGCTTGGCTGTAGATTTGTTGTCTTCTATGCCGTAAGTCAGCTTCGTCGCTTATACCCATGCAGGGTTTGAAAGGTGCTTCTTAGAAAACCCAACCTTTCCACTTTCAAGTCCAGGAAATTAATGGCCATCACTTTTTGATATTTTGAAAACCTGTGTTCAGAACTGTGACAAAATCTGCAATATTTCATTCCAGCAATGTGAAAGCTTGTGGTTTTCAAATCAAAGTATTCCTAGTCACCTATAAAACCTACACTGGATTGTCTTCAAATCAGCCTTTAAAGTCAAGCTTGTAGGAGAGGGGATGCTATGAGGACCCCCAGATTCATTGTCATCTCAGAGGTGGTTGCCATCCTGTCTAAACTGACCACCGGTAATAAACTGCATGTATCAGCCTGGTTGTGACATCCTATTAAATATGATTAACAAGTTGGATGTATATGTAGAGCTTGAAGTTTACATGTGAAAAAGTTCATTCTTGTCTTTGCATAATATTTCTGGAAAAGTCCTTATGATAACACTTGACCAAGGCTTAGCCAGTCATGGTTGCTTGTGGTCAGGAATGACCAGCTGACAGTGGCACTAGGCTTTACCTGTTGTTCTAGTAGGCACTGATCTTATGTAAGGTAGGTAGAGATACTTCTGCTTGAGGTAATAATCAATAAATCAGGGAGAGTTCTGAATTTGAGTTAATTGAAAAATGGAATTGGGTTGTAAAAGAAACCAGGACTCTCTTGAGCCCCATCTTCTTCCAAGAGTAAATGGAGGACATGAGATTGGATGGAAGTATCCTCAACAGAAGGGCTGGGAGTGGCTAACAACTTCTCAGTTGGACCATGCCAATGGAGCAGCCATGTGTGAGACACGCTTCGTTTCCCTTCATTTCTGTCCAACTGTTTCCACAGACAGCAGAGTTGCTCTGCTTGAATTTGGTGTATGGGTTTGCTTTTGTCTTTTCCTACCCTTTTCTAAGAGAAGTTTCAGAGTAACTGTCAAAACTGCAAGGATCTATAATTTTTAGGTGGTGATCCTAAGGACAGGAGAATGGAGTCCTCCTCAACCGATCTGAACACCTGCACTGATGCTCAACAGTGAAGTTCAGAGGGCTGAGGGAAAGAATAGCCCTTCAGTGTCCAGCACTAGTCAGGAAAGACATCTGACATGCAGCAATAACGCAGGAAGGATGAAGGCACAAGGGTGGTGTTACCACTAGGAGCTGGCATGTTGCTGACCTGACAGACTGTCCTGGATGGGACATGACACATGGGATGCTTGATCCCCATTATTCCTGCCCCCCAGGTCTCATGCTTCAAATGGTGTATAGGGACTGATAGATGGGGTACAGTCCCCAGGAGTCCATCCTGCTGAGGGCTGAGTATAAACTCACTGAAACCCACAGATATTCAAGTGGAATCCAGTCTGACTGACAAGGGTCCATGGGGTCCTTGCGTCTGCTCAGTGGAAAGAATAATTGAGATTAACTTGTTCCCACAAGGAATTTTGCTTTCATTTTATGAATCCTTTCTGACACAATGTTTTTTGTAATGGAAAACTATCAACAAGCTCTATAAAGTGCCAAAGTTATGCTCAACCATTGATCTACTGTCCAACAATGTTATGGCCAGAGTAGATTGGTATGACTATCTTATTTGATCTGCTTTAAAGGCAAGCTTCTATTCTTGCCTCAAAGGCCTTAAAACTTCCTTGTAACTTCTGGTCCAGACAGAAGTTAAAATTCAAATACTTCAAGTCATGGATAACAACTTTTTCTCTTTTTCTTTTTTTTTTTTTTTCCCCATTGCTCTAGCAATCAGAATTATGGTTAAAATTTTTTTTATAACCCTGCTTGTCATGCACCAGGAAGGACTGTGATGGTTCAACCCAGTTGGCAATTGAGACCCATGTAGCCACTCGTTCTCTCTCCCCTGCTGGGCTGAAGGAAAAGAATCGGAAGGGCAAAACTCATGGATTGAGATAAAGGCAGTTTAACAGGTAAAGCAAAAGCTGCACAAACAAAGCAAAACCAGGAATTCACCACTTCCCCTGGGCAAGCAGGTGTTCAGCCATCTCCAGGACAGCAGGGCTCCAGCACATGTAATAGTTACTTGGGAACACAAACGCCATCACTTCAACTGTCCCTCTTCCTTTCTTCTTTCCCCAGCTTTATATGCTGAGCACATCTCCATGTGGTGTGGGATATCCCTGGGGTCACTTGACTTGGGGTCAGCTGTCCTGGCTGTGTCCCCAGGCTGCTCACTGGTGGGGTGCTGTGAGGGGCAGAAAAGGCCTTTGCTCTGTGTAACCACTGCTCAGCATTAGCTAAAACACACCTGTGTTGTCAGCACCCTTTCCAACACAAATCCAAACCATAGCCTCATACTAACTACTACGAAGCAAGATAACTCTACCCCAGCCAAAACCATCACAAGAACTTAGCTCATGGATGTCAGCTTTGAAATGAATTCAGTTTTATAGGTGATGTGTCTGAAAAAAGAGCTTTGTGACATTGTGTTGTTAGTTCAGAAATCGCAGAAATACCGAACTCTTCTATTAATTCAGTGACCACTGCAAACCAGAATTATGTATTTTTAATCCCTCCTTTTTAGGGGTTGGATCCACTAATTAGTGATAGCTGTCATAAATGAGTGCCCAAGAATTTGTATGTTAAACAAAGCGCCACTCATGGAAGGACAAAAATAGCAACCACCAGCTTCACAAAATCTCTGCCTGCTTTCTCCAGCTGCACACAAAACCCTTTTCCCTTTTAAGCTAACACTTGAACTGGTGTTCATCACCAGTAAAGGAGGACTCATTTGGAGCGATCACATCTTCTTTTGAAAAGGGTTGTTAGCTTAATTTTCAGAAGTACTGTGCTTTTCTGGTTTCTTCTGATGATAACATGGGCTGCATTTGTTCTGACACTGAGAGAACCAAAATGTCCTGAATAAAATCACCTGTGCTGAATGACAGAATTACATCCAAATACTATCAAAATCAATAGCAGCCTTTCCACAGACCGCTAAGAGAGCTGGAGTAGATGTGTTTGTGATCATTTTTTGTCTCCACTCCATGGTTCCTCATAGCGTATATGTTTATTCATAGGCAAACTGATTACAGGTCAAAATGGCTTCCCATAAAACGTGACCCTGCATCTGAAAGAAATTAGTGTTTCCTTGGGTAGTGCTCAAGGTGAATTACAGATTTCCTTCCTTCGGAGTGGACTTGCTTATCTTTTCAAAAAAATAAAAATGTTTCTCTTTTATCTAATCTCAGAACTTGCTCATATCTCTTTCTTGAACAGTTGCAGTACATTTTAGCAGGATTATCAGAGTTTTACAGGCTTTTGAAAGCTTTGGATTTGCCTTCATGCTGTTAGGCAGTGAAGGCAAGAGAGGATGAGTCTGCATCACACCTAAACACCTGCCACTTCAAATCCTGCAGTGCCAAGGTGGGTGTCCCAGTAGGATCACCCAATTACTGCAGACTACAAAACACAGTTTTTCCTGCAGCTAAAAAAAAAAATAATCATGTTTTGTCATAGACTTACTGCACCATGCTAAGATGCAGACAAAATAGGAGAAGGTAAGAAACTATGATGGGGTGGAAATGGATTTGCTCTGAAATTAAATAGTACTATGATAGGACAGATAAAGATAACTTAAACTAACACATGGCCAAGGAATAGGACTTCATATTCTTCCATTTGAGTAGAAATGCCTTTGACAGGTGATTCTTAGGGCTCTGGAGAAGAGAAGGGGTGTATTAATGGAGGCACGACCATTTTGATGGTGCAGAGCAGGTAAACCAAAAGTTTAATAGAAAGGTGCTATCAATGAGCTGCAAACAGCACTAATGCTCTGAAGAGATTACTTTCTGCTCTCATGTAGGAGAACAGGTGAGGAGTACTGGGAGCCTGTGGTGACACCAGTGCAGAAGAATGAAATGCTATCTGCACCTCTGCAATTCCTTCCAGATCTCTAACCAGGTGACAAACACAGATGCAACAATTCAGTGACAATTTGGGCTGTTGTTTGTTTTGATGAATTTGTGCTCTTTAAATAAAAAGCTGTTGCACATTTTAATTAAGAGTTATGAAGAAGTCATTTGCGAAAAGGTTTAATTATGTAAAAAAAAGCCCACAGCAAGGCTCCAATTTCACGCAAACCTTCACAGGGTAAAGAAGGCCAAGTATGTCTTTTAATTGTGAAGCTATTTGATTTATAATTGCAGATGGATATGTTTTATAAAAAACAGTCTTAAAGAAATACTTATTCCAAGCTTTACAGATATGGTAATATTTATATTAGCAGCCTGTGTCAGGCGAGCCTGACAAGGGAAAAAAACATATGGTCCATGGTGACCTTTCCCCAAACATCCCCTGCACACTTCCCCCTCCCAGCCTCAGGTTGGGGGGAGTGCTAAGACATTATTTTTAGTTTGACTAAGTTTGCAACTTATTGCAACCTGTTGTGCTGATGCTTGCAACACATTTATATCTGCCTAATCTACAAGAAATAATGAACCAATCAGAAGGCGGCACCAAGCAGATCAAGAGGAAACAAACCAGTTTTCACTAGGTATGTGGTTTGGACTGCTGCTAAGAACCACTGCGTGTGCGCAGTGCTGAACAGTTCGTAAGTTCAGAACAAGGAAGACGTTGGGCCTTCAGCAAGAAGACCCGCACCAGAGACCACCTGGGAGTAGTGCGCAAGCGGCAGGAAGGCATTCCATTAATTTACATAAAACTCCGCCTACTCTTGGATAGTTGATGTATATGTAAAACTGGCCACTCCTTCTGAAGTAGGTCGGCCCTCTACAGCAAAAGGAGTGTGTATTTTGACAACATAAAAAGCCGGAACCTAGTGCGGTGACGGGAGGCAGAGCCTCACACCACTCAGGTCAAAATTGCCTCCTTGGGGATGTCGTTATGGCGGAGCCTGCCACCTCATATTGTGATGATGTTTCTCCGAGCTTGTTTCCTAAGCATCATCACATGGTCTCTGGGGTTGGTAAGATAAGCACTCACCAAAAAATATCCATCACTGTTTCTTTTACCCTTTGCTGGCTCTTCCTCCCTATATTTTCCTATAGTAATAAACTAATTGGATTTTTATCCATTGTGTCTTGCCTCTCTCTCAACCTGGAATCCCCAAACTCTGGAACACACAGCCAGACAAAAGAAGTTCGTTTTTCAGAAGCATCTCCAATTATTGCTAAATAATCATAGATTCTTGAAATCAAGACCTAAAGTATTTGACCAACTCAGTATTACCTTGAATGACTACTGACAACAGCATCATATCCCATGAAAAAAGCTTGAGAACACCTGAAAAGAGCCTGAGTTTAGGTACCCAATGTATGGCTTCATGCAGCATTGTGAGCCAAACAAAGTGGTTTAAACAGGACAGCATCCACCACCACTACTGTGATTTCTAGCCATGACTGCTTATTTCATGCTGGATCTAGCATTCAGCAGTCCAACCAATGATCCAATTAAATGTACACAGGAGAAGGTTAAACTCTAAAGAAAGTAAAAAAATTACTGGATTAGTGAATTTAAAATGTTTCAAATGAAAGCTTGCAGAATGGCTAGGATCAGAGAGGAAAGGAAGATGGAGTTAAACTTCTCCCTTTTGGTGAGCTGTGTAAAATTCTGCATCTTCATATATTGATTGGGAGGGGAACAGGGAGCCCAAGGGCTGTATCCTTTTATTTGACTGCTTTATGGTCAGCTCTTGAGATAAAAAGCGTGAAGCATTGCAAGGTGCATCTACCTTTTTGAGTGACTTCATATTTTTGCTTTTTAAAAAAGCCATCTCTTTTTTTTCTGCAGTCTCCAGTTCACGTGTACAAATGCCACATCATGGAAAAACTTTGGAACAACAGTTTCGATAGGTTAGGCAACTTAATAAAGATACTGCTTTTCCAAACATTTCCCCAGTCCACCAGTATACTGCTGGCATCTCAACTTGTACTGTCTTGGCAATCTCCCTCAGTTGCTTATAGTAGTTGACCAGGGTGGAACAGATGACAAATTTCTGAGCTCTGCAAAAGTGAGGCCTCTGCAGGGTAAGAGGATGATCATCACACACTTTTTCGGGGTATATTTTCATGCAGATTTTCTCTTGGGGTGAAAGACTTTTCACACACAGCCTGTGGTTTAGGGCACCCTCAGTCTCACTAATGCAATTCCCTGCTGACCATGATAGAAACTACTTGTGTAATGGGATCGAGGTTAATTATTTTCAAGTGCTAGTTTTTGTTTTTTTTAAAAACAGCCGTTTTACTGATACAGTTTAGAAAATTTTCCCAACAGATTCTTGCACAACTGATTGATGCAGGAAATTGAGGGGGATGACAGAACGGGAACTTCTTATACTGCCTTTGCTGTAGAGAACTGGCATGTAGTCACTGCCTAATACTCGATGACGAAGGTGATTGATTACAGCAATGTCATTCCAGTTTCTTCATCCCTTTTTTCACTTTCGGATCAAAAAGCAGCAGTTACAGGTCACACAATTTCATGTAGGGGAAGATTTTTCTATCAGTAATGCTGCTGTCGCATCTGCTTTGTGTACTAGATGTTAAAAGGGGCTAGTTTACTGGCCTACATTAAGTTAGAAGTGACCTTTGAGCAATATCCTATACAGCTCACTCTACAGGAGTTTAAATAATTGGCTGCAGCTGAAGAGGTTGCTTTGAGCATTGCTTTCTTTAGCTATGGCACATCTTACGTCAGTGCACTAAAACAATTTTGGATGTTGGGTGTGATGTGAAGGGTTAAACCATGTACGGGGGGGGGTAGGTCAAGCTGCTTGCTTAAGTGTTACTGCTTGCTCATGCTTATCGTACTGGCAATGTACAAGGGGTTAGATCAAGCCACTTGCTTACTACTCGTTCATGCTTATCACACTCACTGTATATGCTAGAACAACATATAAGGATGTGGCTATTGCTAAAAGGTAGGGGCCGTGACTTGATTCCTGTCCTTTGGATGCCTAGGCTGGCTGAAATTGGCTCTGCGCTTTGGATGATAACCAGGCCTCGAGAGAGCATGGGCAATGACTAGAGGTAAAAAGTTCAGGCTTGAGGAAGAGTTGTTTACTTCAGCTTGATACCCTCGCTCACGACCACTAGTAGGCACTGTGCAGGTGCAAAGGACTTCTTAGCTCATTATAATACGAAGCGGGAATAGGACATGAATATGTAGAGGTGTGTTGTGCAACCTCATGCATATGTATAACTTTAGAGGATAAATGTAAAAGGGAAACTACGCTAAGGTGCGCATGCCTTTGGAGGAGCTATCTCCCATGTGCCTCAGTGCTGAATAAAGCATACTTACTTTACAACTTTAACGAGTTGTGGAGTCTATCTGAGCAACAGGTGCAGGTGAACAAGCTTCCTTGCTGAATCACTGCTAGGTAGGACTGGCTTAGCAGTCGGGCTGGTTCCAGCAGATCAGGATTAATACAACACCAGGAAAGCTGTGTAGCGGGGGTAGGTTGTGGGTGGAGAAGGGTTGTTATTTATGATGCCATGCACAGATGACTGCTATTTATCAGTTATCAGGAGTACCCTTTTCTCAAAAAATACACAAAAAAATTGGAAGTTCTGCAAAAATATGCCACAAGCATATTGGGACAAGCTCACTATCTGGGTCTCAATTGAGTTACATTAGCACCTTGTTAAATACTCCATTGATTTTAGAATTGTTCTGAGTGTATTGATCTCGGTGGCTGGTCTTGCACATGCTACACAGCAGGGATTCTTTCAAAGTACTACTATAAGATATTTGAAAATAGAGGTGCAGGAGTGTGCTAAACATGACTTCAGGCGCTAATTTACAGCAAGAGTCTGAAACTTTGAGTCATATAAAATACGTCATCTTCCAATTTCTTTAATAAGACTTTTTTGTTCTGACAGTCGTTTACAACGTGTTAATGTTTAGTACTTGAAAAGGTGTTCACTTAAAAATGGATTTATTATAATAATCATGTTTTATTCTCTTTGTTTGGAAGAGGACAATCAACAGAAATCACAAAACAAGATCTTGTCTCTCCTTTTTCTTCAGCAAGATTTTCAGTTTCAGTGCAATGAAATTTTTGTTATGTCTGACGCTCTTATATTTTGAGTACATACCTACCAGCCAGTTAAAAGAAGGGAGTCCAAAGCCAAACTAATTCCTTTGTGTACTCTGGGAAGTCACACTTAACAATCTCAACATTGCAACACAGATGTTAGAATGTCTGTTACTGGGGACAAATGCATTTCAAAAAATGGCTTTGACTATCTAACAGCCACATCCCATGGCACTAATTTCCTGAAGAGCAAACTGACCACCTTTAAATGCAGATGGCTGGAAAAAAAGCTACTGCAAGGAATAAACTTCTGCTATTTTTCAGCCTTTAGGTGCCATTGCTGATCCCTAACAGAAGTTTGTTTGTGTCTGTGAGGAGCATGAGGCTCAGATCTTTAGACTTCTGAGGTGACTCAAGGTTTTCAGTCCCTGAACAAATGATCCCTCTTTCTGTGAATAACCAGAGTTAAACAGGAAGAATTAGTTTATGGTTACTAAGAGAGAGAATAAGTCTGACTATCAGGTATTCTTTCAGAGGTAAGCATGTGTTTCTATTTAGTTACAAATGACAACTGAAGTGGGGTTTGTGAAGTCCCTGAAGAGCTCTGTTCTGTCCATTTCATTCTAGAGCACATCCATCTGAAGTACCAGCAGGGCTTGCTGCCAGAGGCAGCATGCTTGGATTGTTGGTTATCAGTGGATACCAGGTAGCAGATATGAACAACAAGGGAATGACTGAAAAAGACATACCTTGAATATTCCAGAACTTATTTACTGCCAGAGACAGAGGGAACACTATAAAGTTCAGACTGCAAAAAAATTACGTGGCCCAGAGGCACAAATGTTAATATTTAACAGCTCCTGCAAAACAAAACAAAGAAAAACCAGAGACTTCTGAAGCAGCAGTAAGAAAAATCACTGTCATGGGAGAAAGGTGATGAATAAACTGTGTGTATTTCTAGTCCTGTTCAAGAAACAGGATCTTGTGTTGGCTGTGTGCAGGAAAAGGCTAGTAGGATGGAGGAGTGGAAAGTCTGCTTTAGAAGATGAGAGCTTGGCTTCTTTAACCTAGCAGAAGGGGAGCTGAGAAGGGTTTTTCTCTCTGTAGATTCATCAAGTACTTATGAATAGTCCTAGGGCAAACGTTGAACAAATCACAAACATTGAAATGCCTGCCAAAAAGAACTTCAAATATGATTAAAGGTTGGAGAACAGGTCTAATAATATCAAGTTTAAGCTAGCTAGCTTTATCAAAAAAGGACGGAGAGATGCCTTGTGCACAGCAAGGTGCATAAGCACCTCCCAGGAAAAATTCATTTGGTACCTAAGAGCTCTCTCCAGTATCACAGAAAAATGGTGAGTAACCCTGAATCAAAGCTGGAGAAGTTTAGACAAGAAACAGATCTCACGTCTTCAGTATTGGGCTTCTCTCCTAGAGGAAACTATCAGTGTGCTGAATGGTTCAGCTCCTGATATATATCTAGAAGACACAGATTTAGCCCAAAGCAGTTATTGCCCCAAAGAAATGGACGTTAAATGAGATTTCACAGAAGGAAAGAGTTAAGGTCTGTTGTGACTTTGAGGTCTAAG